AAAAAAAAAAAAAAAAAATTAATTAGCAGGGTACGGTGGCTAATGTTACTTAGAAAGAACTTTTACATTGGTTACAGAATGTAACTGATCAGTCTCTCCTAGGTATTGATGACATCATCTGGGTCATCATCTGGGTCAGTATTACACCACACTCAGTTCTCAACAGGCTCAGGGGAACTTAAGAGTTTGATTTTTTTTTTCTAGTGAAACATTTTATTCCTCCCTCATTTTCTTTTTCTTTTTTTTTTCTTTCTGAGACAAAATCTCTCTCTGTCACCCAGGCTGGAGTGCAGAGGCATGATCTTGGCTCACTGCAAATTCCATCTCCCAGGTTCAAAGGATTATCCTGCCTCGGCCTCCTGGGTAGCTGGGACTACAGGCGCATGCCACCACACCCAGCTAATTTTTATATTTTTAGTAGATACAGGGTTTCACCACGTTGGCCAGGCAGGTCTTGAACTCCTGACCTCAAGTGATCTGCCTGCCTCTGCCTCCCAAAGTGCTGGGATTACAGGTGTGAGCCACTGTGCCTGGCCCTTGTTTTCTGTGTATTTTTAGTTATGTTCTTAGCGGTTACTACTCTTGATATCCTAAATTTATAACATCTACTTTGAATGGTTACCAACCTAGCTTCGATAACAAAAACTCTGTCTCTATACAGACCTGCCTTCTTTTCATTTTGCTATTGTCACAAATTACATAATTATACACTGTGAGTTCCTTGACATACATTTGTTTTATGCATTTACCTCTAAATTATATTGAAAACAAAGAAGTATATATTTGCTGCTGTTGTTTTTGAGACAGGGTCTGGCTCCGTCACCCCGGCTGGAGTGTGGTGGCAGTATCTTGGCTCACTGCAACCTCTGCCTTCCAGGCTCAAGCCATCCTCCTACCTCAGCCTTCTGAGTAGCCAGAACCACAGGCATGTGCCACCACTTCTGGCTAATTTTTGTATTTTTTGTAGAGACAGGGTCTCACTTTGTTGACCAGGCTGGTCTTGACCTCCTGAGCTCAAGCAATTCACCTTGGCCCCACAAAGTGCTAAGATTACAGGCATGAGTCACTGATACTAACCACAAAGAATTACAAATTCAAACTACAATGATACTGTCTTTTTTATTTACCTATATATTTACCTTACTAGAGTTCTTTATTTTTTAATATCACTTCCAGTCACTGTCCAGCATCCTTTCATTTCAGCCTGAAGAACTCTCTCAAGCACTTCTTATGGGGCAGATCTGCTAGCAACAAAATTTCTCAGCTTTCTTCTGGGAATTTCTTAATTTCTCTTTCATTTTTGAGGAGTGCTTTTTCAGGATATAGAATTCTTAGTTGATGGTTGTCTTTCAGCATTTTCAATGTGTCACTCCACTGCCTTCTAGCATCCATGGTTCCTGATGAGAAACAGGGTGTTAATCTATTAACAATCCCCTCTAGGTGACTAGCTCCTTCCCTTTTGCTAGACAAGAGTTTCGCTTTTGTCTTAGGCATTCAACAGTTTGACTATATCCTGGTGTAGATCTGGGTTTATCCTACTTATAGCTTGTTGAGCTTCTTAGACATGTAGGTTCATTTTTTTTCACCAAATTTGTCAAGTTTGGGGGCATTATTCAAATATCTACTTTTCCCCATTCTCTCTCTCTTCTAAAAATTGTATAATTCATATATTGGTACACTTGATGGTGTCCTCAAAGTCCTTTCGCCTCTGTTAATTTCTCTTCATTCTTTTTCTTTCTGCTCTTCTGACTGGATAATTCCAGTTGTCCTATCTTCAAGTTGGCTATTTATTCTGCCTGTTTAAATCTGCTATTGAAACCCTCTAGTGCATTTTTCACTTCAGCTATTGCTTGCATGGAGCCTACATACAAGCATAGAATCCTCTCAGGTCTTTTCTGTACATTCACCCAGCCTTATGAATACAAGATTCAGTCTAGAATCCCCACTTACACATGATAGTTTTTTCAAAACCTTTTGCCCCAGAGAAACTTTCTCCTCAGCCTCCTCCTTTCCAGTCTTTTGGGTCTGTCTGATGCTCACCCTATCTACTGCCCTAGGTGGCTGTCAGTAGTATATGTCTTTAAACCTGTCAACAAATGCTGCTGTTGCCCAGAGAAGCACTCCAGTGTGTGGTAGGCAAGAAAAAAGAAACAGCAGCCCCTGTACCCGTCACTTGGGGAACTATCAGATAGGTCAAATACAAATACAACCACATTATTTTGAGAGCAAAGTCTGCATTCAGCCCTGGACACCAACACACTGCATCAGGAACACTGGCCACTGTCCCCCCCACACCACTGTCCTGTGGAATGGGGGATGTAGGCAGATGGGCAAAAACAACACAACGTTTTCTTATCAAACTTCAGCTGCCTTCTTCATTAAGCATTCCTCCAGTTTCTATAAATTTCTCGTTAGATTCCAGTTTCAAAAAAGTGG